TTTTTTTTTTTTTCCTCTCTCTCTCTCTTTCCCTTTTTCCCCCTCCTTTCCTTAATCACTTCTTCTTCGTCTTGGTGGAGAACTGAGCAAGCAGCAGCGATGAGACGGTAAATTCAGTCACTCCCCCCCTCCCCTCTCTCAGCCTTTCTCCAAGATCAAAGAGTCTCAAAGCGCAACTTTCTCTCTCTCTCGCTGGCTCGCCGGCTTGTTTCAAGCTCGTGGATTTGTGTGGTGTTGTTGTTGGGTTTTATTATTATTATTATTATTATTATTGCGCTGAGAATAGTTTTTTCATTGTGCAAAAAAAAACCGAGGTCGATCCAGGCTCTCCTTCTCCTCCCAGCACTTAGTCTAAGAGCAAGAAAGCAAAGAATATAAAAAAAAGGAGTAAAGCCCCCATACATACATAGACACCGGATGGGAAATGTCAGTCACTCCTCCACCTTCCAAACAGTCACAGATCAAACAGTGTCACCACCGGAGAGGACTACTTTTCTGCTTTGCTGCCCCCTTTTTTTTTTCCTCCACAAATCGCAGCTTCTTCTGATACTAAATATAATGCAAACACATTTTTATCATGGATTTTTTGGCTGATCTTGATCTGCAATAGAAAAATAAAATAATAATAAAAAAAAGCCAAAACCAAGAAAAACCCCAGAGAGTGTGTGCAAAGGGGGGGGAAAAACAAAGATATTCACTGAGTGGGAGAGATTAACGTGAACTGTTTCCCCCCCCCCCTCTTTAAACTCCTGGGAGAGAAAGAGATCCACTCTCCCTCTCTTCTCTTTTCACTGAAATATAACACACATTCAGATCCCAGAGCTTTCAGACAGTCTCAACTGATAGACAGACACATCGAGCTGCTTTTCCTGCTTCAGTTTCTTACTCCTCCTCCTCTTGCCAACGTCACCCTGACAATTACAAATAGGTCTCACACAAACCCATACCTGTCAATCTTTTTAATTGCTTTGTTTTCATTTTTTTTCCAGGGCTAAACATTATGAAAAAAAAAAAGAAGTCTTAATACAGCGTCGCATAAAAGATTTCTCATGTAAGGCACACATGGAGGGTTTTGTCATTGTAATCCACTCGCTAAAGTACCGTGCAAGACGCATGTGCTGATTTAACTTAAGCAGAGGTCTAGTTCTGGCAAACTTAAAAAGCAGAGAGATGAGAGCTAACCTTGGCACGTACATAACCAGCCCTGGATTTAGGATGAGTTGTGGGAGAGTGCACCTCACCCTTCCTGGCAAATACCACCAGATTGCAGAGCAAGAGCTGCAGCATATGAAAGGCTGCTAAAAGATTTTGCACAATTTATGTTTGGGGATACACATACTACTACTGACTGCAAGAATAGAAGGGTCTTTCTCCTTGCCTTGTCAACTCAGGAAAGCAAATAAAAAAACCAAACGCGGGGTTCCTAAAAGGAAACGCTTGAAGCTACAAATTTGCTTCCTCTCGGGCAAAGGGGGGATTTTTTATATTTTTAATTATTAATACCATGCAAGTAGGAGACGAGCTGTGCATATGGACACGGGGCAGTTAATTGGAGGAGAGTTGCACACGAGGTCTTTCCCTACCCCACTGCAACATCTGTCCTAAATAACCCCCCACCTTCTTCTAAGACCAAGCACCAAAGACTGGGCATTTTTTTAAAGACACTTCAGACCTTTGACCCACTTGCAGGGTCTCCCTCCCAAAAGGGCTTGTGCCCAAAAGCTTGCAAAGACCAATTTTCAACTAACATTTCCGACTGTTTAGTTGGTCTAATAAAAGGTCACATCTGCCCAAAGAACCTTGCCTGCCTGTCCTGAGACCAACACGGCGGCAGCCAACCAACAACCCCCTCTCTCCCAAAAGCAATTCTAACACTGCAGGGTTGGTTGAAAACAACAAAAATCCCTATAGCAAAGATCCGACAGAATTGGTTGGGGGGGGGATATTTTTGGCCAGAAGGCAACATTTTTTAATGTCACAGAAAGAGGGGGAAGGGAATTCATGTGCAAGGCAGAGCTCCCAAATCCAGAGGGACGCAAAGTACACGTCGTGTGCATCGGGGCATCTCCCAGCTGGAAGGGCAGACAGCGCGCGGACACACAGAGATCCCGGAGATGCTTTCCAAGCCTTTCCTAAATCGCGGTGTTTTTTTCTCCTCTCCCAAATCGGCGCGCGGCATCCACTAGCGGTTGCTAGCGGCTCTGGGTTGATTCGTACCACCTTGCGAGGAAGTGAACGTTTCGCACGGAAGGGGCGGCGCCTCTCGCCGCCGGCGGCTCCCTGGCAGCTCCTAATAACAACATTACAAGATTAGCTGCAACTTCTCTTCACTACTCTTAACCTTATTGATCTGATAATTTATGGGGGGGAGGGGGGTCTTCTTTTCTTCTTGGGGTTTTTTTTCCCCCCTAAAAAGGGATCATCTTGCGTCTTCTATAAACTAAAGAGTGGGGTGGAGGGGGAAATCCGCTGCATTTTTAGATTCATTTTTTTAATCCCTTCCTAGGAGGCAGCGTGCACATTAAAAAGCCACCCCCCCCCCCCAAAAAGCTAAAAGCAGCAAATCCAGCCT